TATGCGCGTCAAATCTTCCTAAAATTCTCTACATTTGTCCAAAAGTGCTTAAAAATGTCTTTAAATAATTTTTTATTTTATTTATTTATTTATTTTTACCAAAGCGCAATATTTCTACAGTTCATATTAAAGAAGCAATCGAGCCGAAATTTTTGGAACTTTTTGAATTTTTTTTGAAAAGAGCGAATTTCTTAAAACTAGTTTCATGTTAAAATATGAGCCTCAAATTTTTTGAAAATGCCCAAAGCTGTTCAAAATTGCTAAAAAAATGTCTTTAAATAAATTATTTTTTTGCCTAAACACGATATTTCTACAGTTAATATTAAAGAAGATATAGAGCGTGGCATTTTGTTAATTTTTTAAATTTTATGAAAAGAGCGAATCTCTCAAAAGGGTTTAATATTTTATGTGTGCGTAAAATTTTCTGAAAATGAACACCTTTGTCCAAAAATGCCAGAAAAATATCTTTAAATGAGATTAGTTATTCAAAAACATATCCCCACAGCTAAGCAAATAAGAAATAGAGGGGACAAAAGAAGCAATAGAGCGGACACTTTGTGAATTTTTTTAAATTTTTTGAAACGAGCGAATCTCTTAAAACTGGTTTCATGTTAAAATATGGGAGTCAAATTTTCTGAAGAGGCCCACATTTGTCCATAAGGGTTCAAAAAATGTCTTTAAATAAATTTATTTTTTACCAAAACATGATAATTTTACAATTTATATTAAAAAAGCGATAATCACTTTGTGAATTTTTTTAAATTTTCGAAAGTGAGAATCTCTTAAATCTGGTTTTATGTAAAAAAATTTGCTTAAAATTATCAGAAAATGCCCATATTTGTTCAAAAGTACTCAAAAAATGTCCTTAAATGAGATTTATTTTGTTGTTGCCAAAACATGATATTTCCACAGTCAATATTAAAGAAGCAATAGAGCGGCCACTTCGTGAATTTTTTAACATATTTTGAAAAGAGCGAATATCTTAAAACTGCTTTCATGTTAAAATATCTGCGTTAAAGTTTCTCTTAATGTCCATATTTGTCCAAAAGTGCTCAAAGAATGTCTTTAAATGAGATTTCTTTTTAAAAAACATGATATTTCTACAGTTCTTGTTAAAAAAGCAATAATCACTTTGTGAAATGTTTTAAATTTTCAAATGTGATAATCTCTTAAATCTGGTTTTATGTAAAAGTACTAAAAAAATGTCTTTAAATGATATTTTTTTTAATTACCAAAACATGATATTTTAACCGTTCATATTAAAGAAGAAATAGAGCGGACAATTTATGAATTTTTTAAAATTTTTTGAAAAGAGAGAAAATCTTAAGACTTGTTTCGTGTTAAGAAATGTGCGTCAAATTTTCCGAAAATGCCCACAGTTGTCCAAAAGTGCTCAACAAATGTCTTTCGTGTTAAGAAATGTGAGTCAAATTTTCCGAAAATGCCCACAGTTGTCCAAAAGTGCTCAACAAATGTCTTTAAATAAATTATTTTTTTACCAAAACACGATATTTCTACGGCTCATATTAAAAAAGATATAGATCGTGGCATTTTGTGAATTTTTTTAAAATTTTTGTGAAAAGAGTGAATCTCTCAAAAATTGTTTAATGTTTTACCTGTACATCAAATTTTATGAAAATGAACACATTTGTCCAAAAATTATGAAAAATATCTTTAAATGACATTTGTTTATCAAAAACATGATACTTTTATAGTCCTTATTAAACAAGCAATAGAGCGGAGACTTTGTGAAATTTTTTAAATTTTGTGAAAAGACAGAATCTTTTAAAACTAAATTCGTTTTAAAAATTGTGCGTCAAATTTTCTGAAAATGCCCGCATTTGTCCAAAAGTGCTCAAAGAATGTCTTCAAATGAGATTTGTTTTTCCACAACCTATTATTTCTACAGTTCATATTAAAAAAGCATTAATCATTTTGTGAATTTTTTTAAATTTTTAAAAGAGCGAATCTCTTTAATCCGGTTTCATGTAAGAACATGTGAATCAAGTTTTCTGAAAATGCCCATATTTGTCCAAAAGGGCTAAAAGAATGTCTTTAAATGAGATTTTTTTTTTACCAAAACATGATATTTCCACAGCTAATATTAAAGAAGCAACAGAGCTGACAATTTGTAAATTTTTTAAAATTTTGTGAAAAGAGCGAATCTCTTAAAATTGATTTCATGTAAAAATATGTGCGTCACATTTTCTGAAAATGCTTATATTTGACCAAAAGAGCTCAAAGAATATCTTCAAACTGTCCGCTGTATTGCAACCTTACTATGGACTGTGGAAATATTTTTAGGTAAAAAAATCTCTCTTAAATACATTCTTTGAGCACAATTGGAAAAATATGGGCATTTTCAGAAAATTTGACGCACATATTTTAACTTGAAACCAGTTTTAAAAGATTCGCTATTTTAAAAAAATGTAAAAAAATCACAAATTGTCCGCTCTGTTGCTTCTTTAATATTAGCTGTGGAAATATCATGTTTTGGTAAAAAAAAAAAANAGTATTTTTCAAGAAAACAATTTGAGCACAAATGTGAAGAATTCACTTGTCAGCCATGTGATTACTTTAGAATGCTGCCAGATTCAAAAAACTTAAAATTATCAAAAATTAAACAGTAATATGTAGACTTTGGCTATTTTTGAACATATTTTTAAAATTAAAATATGCAATTCATAAAAAAAAATTTCACTTAAAAGTTGACACTTTCGTGGAATTGCGCAATTATAATTATCATAAAAGAAATAAATTACTTCATAAAAGAAATACTAGGTTACTATTAGTATACTAGTATTTCTTTTATTACTGTATAATGTAATCCTAGTAACTACTAATTCATTATGCAATTCATATAAATGTTTATAATAAATAAAGAAAATTATATTTTTATTTATTTAGAAGCTACGGGTTAGTTTCAAAGGAGGACGGGTACATAGTTAGGCAAGCCGTCCTCGGGGACGGGTAAAATTTCTGAGTTCTTTCGAGCCCTGGATCCTCCCACATGAAAGTATATTTTCTTTCCCTTGTTTTCTTTCCTTATTTAATCAGATTTTGGTGTATGAACGTTAATTGTAATGTATAATCATTGGTATTGAATTCTGTCTTATGACTTGTAGAAAACCACTTATCATTTTGAGCATTCCTTTAAAAAATACTGAAACTACTTAGAAAATTGCGTGGAACTTTTTAAATTTTTCAAATTGGTCTTTTTCATTACTTGAAAAATCTCATTTAAAGAAATTCTTTGAAAACTTGGCATTTACAATGTGGGCATTTACAGAAAAATGTGGGCATTTACAGAAAATTTGACGCTCACTTTTTAACACGAAATCAGTTTTAAGAGTATCACTCATTTCAAAAAATTTAGAAAAATTCACAAAGTGTCCGCTTTATAGCTTCTTGAATATGGACTGTGGAAATATCAAGTTTTGGTAAAAAAAAAAAAAAAATCTCATTTAACACTAGATTGCCTAAGGAAGTCATTTTGACTGCTTTTCAATTTCAATTTGAAAAACAATTATCTATATAATGACACAGCTTCTTAGAATTTTATGACTTTTTGTACAACATATAGAAGCGTTTATTAAGGACATTTTTCGATCCCTTATGAACAAATGTGGTCATTTTCAGAAAATTTGACTCGCATATTTTAACCAGTTTCAAGAGATTCGTTCTTTTCCAAAAATTTAAAAAATTCACAAAGTGTCCGGTCTACTGCTTTTTTAATTTGGACTGTGGAAATATCCTGTTTTGGTAAAAAGAAAAATCCTATTTAAAGACATCCTTCGATTACTTTTGAGCAAATATGGGCATTTTCAAATAATTTAACGCACATATTTTTACATGAAATCAGATCTAATAGATTCGGTCTTTTAAAAATTAAAAAAAAATCACGAGGTGATTATTGCTTTTTTAATATGAACTGTAGGAATATCATGTCTTGCTAAAAAAATAATTCATTCTAAGACGTTATTTTTTTATTATTCCTTATGAACAAATGTGGACCTTTTAAAAAATTTTGAAGAGCATATTTTAGCATGAAACCAGTCTTTCAACATATTTTTATAAATAATAGCTAGTTCCACTGAAAGATGTGATTACATTGATTTGACTACTATGTTAAACTGTTGAGTATAAAATAACAATAATATTTTTTATTTCCTTCCTAGAAATTCGGATTTATTCCCAATAATAAACCAGAGAGTAGGGATAGTAGGGACTTACTACCTCAACAAGCAGTTTTTCTCCCTATCTTTGCAGGAAATGATCTCTTAGGAAGCATTCTCTCTGTATGTGCTCACACGTAAATGCGATTCATACAATGCGCGATTAGCTTGTCGCACTGTATACGATGTCGAGTGAGATAGAGAACCTGATTGGTGAATTTTTCTCTGGAGAACACAAGGTTCTCGTTCTCCCTTGAAAGCGCTAGCAGATGCGTGAATCACTTCCAATGTGAGTGGTCTATGAGGGAGAATTCATATTGTCTGCGTTTGCCTTTGACACACGTGCGAATGCTTGGAATCACATTGAGATATGCGAATCACTTGCTCTGAGAATACTTCATAACATGTAGATTCTAGAGATTCCTCCTCATACACTGACTACGGTTTTACCGTCATGTAATGACCTAAAATATGACCTTCACCAGATAATTTTATGTCTGAAATCAATCATTCATTAGATAATTTCTGAGTCTTCTTATGGACCTAGCCACATCCTCTACTTTAAATCCAAGGCATGATATTTAAAATATTTCAGTTTCTTACAGAGCAACTCTAGTGCGACTTCTATCTAAATCGAAACCAGAACGAATCTGAACGAAACAGAAAATTCGTCTGTAATATGAAAATTGTTTTCTATTTAGAATTTGGCAACACTGTCAAACACCGCACCCTGCGAAGTGCGAACGGTTTCGAAGCTACTCGTTTGGGATAGGGAGCAGGTAAATAATTTGTCCTTTTTAGCTTATTCCGCTTGCATTTTAATGAATATTGTATTTATCTAGATCTTTTGGAATTGTCATTTCATTTTTCAATGATTTTACAATGCTTTTCATCTCAAAGTTTCTAAAATAACAAAGTTTTATTGACCGGGTTGTTGTTAAGACTAGCGGTTTTTTATTTGTTTATTTTATTTCTGTACGGCGTGCTCATAAATATTAAATAGCCCGTCTATAGACGTGACCTATAAATAGATTTGTTATAAATGATTATTATCTTTGGCTCGCATATTTGTATTCTTCGGTTGAATAGAGTTTGACTGACGATAACCAACATGCTGTCTTCTTGTTTTTTCATTTAATTTATTATTATATTCAGCTGTATACGAGTGCCGGTTTAGTTTTTGCCAGCAATCGTGGGAGTGTGCCATTGCTGTTCCATGGATTTATGTTGGTAATTATAAAATTTGAAAGCTTTTTAATTATATATAATTTTGCGTGGGTGTGTGTCTTTGACGGAGCAACCATATGCAAATTAAGCTGTGAATTGTTGAATATGGTTTGTAGATGTCGTATTTGCTATATGTAAATAGCTTTGAATGACAGTGTACTTTTCTTAAATAGGATATCTATAAGAAGTTGTGAGTCATTCATATTAAAAGTTTTAGATTTTAAAAGTTTGTTTTGAACTATTTTTAGCATATATTATTTCATGAATGTATTTTTTTTTGGTTTATTTTTACGTTTAGTCAATATGTGGAATGTTTATCTGTGATTATTTTGCTTTTTATTTTTGAACGAAGTATTCAGCTGTTATGAATTTAAAAAAAATGATAAATAAATTTATGTTTTTGGTGGATGCAATGGGGTCCAGTTGAAAAAACTGAACTTTTAAAATTATTTAAAACTGTATTGCTTGCATGATTATTTAACTTTGTGTTTTTTTAGTATGAAATTGAAAAAATAAAATAAAATCGAGATCCTAGATTGTAAAAATACTGGTTTTGCGGATATTTTTGTATCGGTATCTGTCCACTACCTTTGTGAAGGTTTGCAAAGAGTTTTTTGCCTTGCAAAAATTTAAAAGAAAAAACGTTTTCTTGGGGCTTGCTATAAGTTTTAGCTTTAGAGTTGGTCTTTTCTTGTGACGTTTTTTTTTAAGTTTCTTACTGGCTAATACCCGACAATCCAAAACTTGAAAATTAATTTGGTAGAGTTGATATGGAAATTTTCTCTTAGTATTTACTATTCTGATAATGATTTCATTAAATCTTAGTATTTTAAATAATATGGGTTATCAATTATATATATTTCAAAAGGCTTGAGATAGTATTAAGTCGAAGAAATGTATTTGGGTTTAGTGTTTCTTTTGGTTATTTAAAATTTTATGATAGTTATGTTAATGTAACTGAATGGAATAGATATCTTATTACAAATGTAACATGTTGGCATTGCTTTGTTTACAAATTTTTTCTGCTTAACTTGGTGTAGTGATTTATAATCCATGATGTATCCTATCTTTTATGTTGTCAAATTTAACATATTTATATTAAACTGTAGTTTCATATTTCTTAGCATAGATCTTCTGACATCATATTTTACATTTGATGTTAACTGCATTTTATTTGTCTAAATTTTGTTATTTTTGATGATCTGATATTTCTGTTTACACTATTCATAGCCAAGCACAACATATGAATACAGCTTTAAAAAATAAATTAGTTTCCATTTCTTTTAAACATGGCTCTTTTTTTGTACAATGGCAAGTTTCGGTGATATTTTAATTACTGCATGTAATCTGTATTTAAGTTAGAGTTTTAATTTTTTTTCTTTTCCTTTCCTACCAGTGTTAAAATTCTTGATTAGGAGATTGTTTTTGAAGCAATGTTTGTTTTAAACATACACAAAAGTTCTAAATATTTTTTAACTAATTTTTTTGCAAGTGATGTGGTTTGTAATCACTTTAAACAACTGTTTTCACTTCATGCAGAAAATTTGCTGTTGTACCTAAATTTCAAGACTCGAATGAGACCCTGAATAGTGAAACATATTTACTTGCGTTTGAGTTGCCCATCAGGTTCTCATTTGCATCTTTAAATTTTTTGCATGCAATGAGGGTGACTTTTTTCTGTTATTTTATTTTTAAATTGCTTTCAAAATGAAATCAAAAATAGATTAAATAAGGAATAATCTAAAATAGTATTTTTATGACAAATTATCTGATATAGGTTTTACAAATGTGTTAAGTTTTAAAATTCATGTGCTTACAAATTTATGTTCTGGAAGACAAATGGAAAAAATGAAATTTCAAGAAATTTAACTAGATTACTTTATACTGAAACGTGTTTTGTGCTGCAGATTTTTTTAATTATATTCAGACTAACATATTATATTCAAAACTTTTTTTTGAGAATTAAGAGTTTTTTTTTAGTTTTTGCTGTTTTTATTAACCTTTTAACCTTTTTAATAAAATTATTAACCTTTTTAATAAAAATTATGATAGATTTTATTCTTTTATTGTTACTTTTTTACTGTATGGTAAGACAGATAGCTGACAGGTAGACAGATAGTTAAAAAAAAAGAGAAAAAAAAGTCAGATTTTTAACTTTAAAGTTATATTTTAGGAAGAAACTTTTTTTCTGTTTCTCTTTTTTATTAACCTTTTTTCAGTGTTTTTATTATGACACAGCATTTTTAAAGAATGTTTCCAATTAACATTAATCTTTTATGCTCACTTTTTTCTGAAACTATGGCAATCTGTAAAAGTTCAATTGAGGTTTTATACATTAAATTCTCTTACAAAAATTTAGATCGATTTGTGTTTGGTTTCTATCCAGTTTTCTTTTTTGAGAGAAACTTTTATTTCTTATCAATGTTCTTATTATAATGCAGCAATTAAAAGGGTTTAGTAATTCTTTTTTCTTTTTTTCTTGAAAATACAGTGTAATTGGAAAACTGAGGTGTTCAACTTTAAAATTTTTTTTCAAGAATTCAGATCAATTTTTATTTTTTCTGTTTCGCTCTTGTAATCTTTTGTTTTTGTGGCATTTTTCTGATATCATTGCATTTTGAAAGGTGCTTTTGATAGTCTATATTTCTTTTAACGTTTTAAGTATACTTTTTTTTTGGAATATATTTTTAGCATTAACATTAGCTTAAGAATTAAGGGAATTTTATTGTTGCTATTTTTTTTTTCAAATTAAATCTTCAGCTCTTTTTTTTTTTAAAGCTGTTTTTTTATCTTATATTTCAAATGGATATCGATTATATTATTTTATCTTGAATTATATTATTTTAAAGCAGACCAATAATACACCTAAATTTTTATTATTTTTCAGTAATGACTGAACTTATTTATATATCTAAAAAAAAGTATTTATGAGTGATTTTTTTTCTTTAAAAAAATGTAGCTTTTCGGCCGCCCAGTATTCAGTATTCGGCAGCTTTTTTTCTTCCGAATATTCCACTGAATCACTATTCCTTACTTCCCCAATAAGTAATTTATTGTTCAGAATAAATGAGCTCCTGGAATTGTGAAATAAATCTTGAAGTATCAAATACTGAATTTTTTCCCAATATATCAGTAATGCAAACAATTTATGACAAGTTTACTTAGGATTAGCAGGGGGGTAGATATCCTGCTAAAATTTGTTTGCATTTTGAAAATATTTCTTCAGTCATGATTTACTCTAGGTTTACCTGAACTAAGTTTAAGTTTTCTCTAACTTTTAAGTTTTAAAATGCCAATGGAGTTGTAACAGAATTTGCCATGAAAAGTTTTTTGTGTAATATAACATCCTTTGAAGTGTTATTATAAATTAGCGCACTTTTTATTTACGATTGGTTCTTAAAGATGTAAAGCCAGTTACTGCTAGCTCTATTCACAGCGGGATAAACTACCATGCAAAAAATAGGTTTTCTCAAACACTAGTGAAAAAAACTTGTAAAAAGGAAAGATCAAGCATTATAATATTTTTTAAACGGTTAATAATTTTAATCTGTTTTAAATAAAAGATTAATTTCTAAGTTATTTAATTTGTCATTTCTAAATAAGTGGAAACTAAGAAACTATAATTCAAAACAAATATTTAATTTCTTAAGTCAAAACTGTAGCATTGTTGCCACTCTACAGGGAAAACCTGGAAAACACAGGGAATTTGAAAATCACCTAAAATAACAGGGTAAATGCAGGGAATTTTGATTTTTTCTTTACAAACAGGAAAAGTACAGAAAATTTTGTTTTTGAATTTGGTCTTTTAAAAAATGGTGACCTCTCAAAGCGTAATCTATGGAATATTTAACTATGATATTTCAGCTATACTAAACTATTTCATTTATTATATCATTATTTAAGTATCTTCAGCTGATTTTTCAACAATCAAAACTAATAAATGTTGTTAACCCAATATAGCTCACACGAGCACAGTAATTGTTGTTTCCTCTTAATATATTGTGTATAATATATACAGGGAAAACACAGGAATTTTTTTTTCCGGACTTGAGTGGCAAACCTGTGTAGTTTCTTTTAATGTTTTGCTTCGAGGAGTTTAGTAAAATTTAGTTTTATAATTTTATGAAGAACTATTAAAGAAATTTTATTGATGCAATTACAGTAGCAAACCGTATTTTTGAATATATACCCTATTACAAATTTTATATGATATTGCAGAGTTCTCCTCTCCCTAGGAATAAAATAGGGCAGAGTGCTTCCCTTACAGAAAGACTTTTTTGAGTTTTGTTAAGATTAAGATTAATCAGTTAAGATTAATCAATGTGTAATATTATGTAATAACTGAATTTAATCCTCTAAAATTTTTAAATTACTCTCATACTATTTTATGTTTATATTTCTGTTATACTTTCTGCAAGCAATTGATTAACTCTTGTATGTAGTTTCAACTCTTTCGCCACCGTCACATTTTTTTGTGAAATTTGTTTGAAAATCACAATTATTTTTAAAAATGTTTTTAATTTTTATAAAACTCTATATTGATTCATACCATAGGGATAAGTTGGGTATAATACCAAAAAAAAAAGCTGAAAGTAGCGATCCAAAAATTTTATGTGCAAAAACACTTAAAATAATTGAAAAATACCTGAAATTTGTAAAAAAAAAAAAAAAAGTATATAGCAAGCATTTATCCATTGAATGTCATCAACCTTTTAATAAAAATATCGCCATTACGAAACTGTTTGATTCCAAAATTGCGTTAATAAGAATCTTGATGTTTCTGATGAATCTGATGAATCTTGAATACGAAATGCTATATTTAATGCAATATCAGGAAAATACGAAACGCGCCATGCGATGTTGAATCGCGTAAAATGCGAATCGCAATGTGTGATTTTAAATTATATGAACACGAATCGCGATGTGTAATTTTAAATCATGGGAATTTAATTCTAAATCTCATATCGGGGTGTACTAGTTTAAAAATTAGGTAAGGATGACTT